TAGCAGTAGGAGAGAAGGAAAGTACAGATATGCCATGAAAGGAGTTTCTCCCACTGTAGTGAATGAACTATGACTCATTCTCATTTCCTCCCATGGGTCTCCTACTGACCAGCAGGACTCATCTGTAAGGAACAAGGACCCCAACACAGAGGAAATTAACTGACCAACATGGAGATGGTCTTGGGCTGATGAGAACTGTGCCCTGATAGGTTGGCATACTGTTCTAGTCAAAACTGAAACATAGCTCTAACAAACTTCACTGTTCAAAAAATGTATACACACTTTAACAGCTGATACCTCAATTTTAAAAATGAAATGTCTTTTAGTAAACACTGCCTTTATAATTATTCAAAGTGTGTATATACATTTTGGGAAACACCCTATACATAGTTTTATAATTATTTATATACATATAAACAATGTAACTATAATGCATTTAGGCTTATGATTTCACAAACTTATCTATTTCTTAAAGTAAGCCTTCTGGGAAGCTTTGAATGCAAGCTAGCACTTGACAAGATTCAACTGCAATTCAGTCACAATTGTTTTTCAAATTTATTCAATTTACATAGATGTTTTCACCCAGTTCATCTAAATTCCTGACAGGGCTCTTTTGCACTTTCCTTAACTAAGAGCAATTATGTTTGTATTGTCTACCTTGTCGCTAATAGAAATAAGTGGCCTCAATACATTATATGTATTATATTTACCAAGGGTCACTAAGGATTTGATCCTGCCATTTTTAAATATGCCTCACTGCAAAAGCATTGATATTCTTAAGCTATGTGGAGAAATGACATCCCAAGCAAGATATGATTTAATGGAAAATTTGGAAATCACCCAATTTTTCATAAATGCAAGGTGAAGAAAACACATTAACTGGAAAAGAAAATGTATTTTCACCTACGGGAATATTGACCTGCTCATATGAAGATCACTGATTCACAGAAATATCTCATTTGGACCTTTAGAGTCTATTTTGCACTATAATTTCAAAAATTTGGAAGTTAAATTCTCCCACCAAATTTCAAATTTATTCCTCTCTTGCATCAAAAGTGTATTCTTCCATATAAACTTCCCACTTTAGCATAAATACTATATTGCCAGATGCCTTTATAAGACAAGCAGGAAATCTGATTACCGCTTTCATATACTTTTAATCAAAAAAGTGGACTGCAATCCATAAAGAATATTTAGTCACCTCTAGAGGGAGGGAAATTTAACTAACTTGCTATTTTCTTTTTTTAATATTTTTTATTGATTTCAGAGAGGAAGGGAGAGGGATAGAGAAATAGAAACATCAATGATGAGAGAGAATCATTGATTGGCTGCCTCCTGTACACCCCTGGGGGCGGGGGACGGTTGAGCCTACAACCCCAGCATGGGCAGTTGGCTGGAATCAAACCTGGGACCCTTTAGTCAGCAGGCCAACACTCTATCCACTGAGCCAAACCAGCTAGGGACTACCTTGCTATTTTCTTATGAAAGTGTTGAGAAAGGAACCCTTCTAAATAATTTTTGCTGTTTATTAAATCTCTCTTCTTAGAGAGTAACCAATTGATGAGTGATGGTGCCAAGAAAAAAATGCATTGTATCCTTATGCTTCTTCTGCATGTATCATTGAAAAAGGATAAAAAGGAAAGAGTAAAATTCTTATTCCATGGTCGCAAGAAACACAATTACAACCACCCCAGTAGTGTTCTGTGTGAAGAGGACTCCTTGGCACGTTCAATGTGGGAGGAAATAAATCAGCATCTCATCCATTGCAAGATGATGTTCAACTAGACAACTGATATAACATCATATCACAGCAGCACTAAAGAAACTGTGCTGTTAAAATTACAATGCATGTTACTATGTTTATATCTTAAAAATGGACGTTGACACCACCTAGCTATTCCACCATTTTTGTTTTACAGATGAGGAAACTAAGGCCTAGGGGAGTAAAGTGACTTATTCAATTTTACAAAATTAATGCAACAAAAGGACTAGAACTCCATGTCTCCTGGCTCTCAAACCAGGACTCTTTCTAAGTCAAATACCTACTAGCTCATCAGCAAACTTGGGACAAAGGATCAAGCTAACATTTATTGAACATTTACTATGTGCAGAGACAAGGAAGCCCTGGTTATCAATGTACTTGCTTCTCAGTTTTAAATCTGCCCCCTGCCTCCCAATGCATGCTCTGCAATAAGGGATGGATTTTCTTCTGCATTTCTCTTTTACAAAGAGCACAATGTTAAGCTTTTTCAGTAGAAGGAAGGAGGCCTTCTGATTCCTGTAATTGCAGGGTCAGTCAGTGGTGTTGGTGGGAGGGCAGGAGGAAAAGCTTGGCCTCAGCCATGTGCCCAGATGCACAGTCCCTCAAAGACCTTGCAGCCCCGGCCTGGCCTAGTACTCACCCCCCAGAGCCCTCTCCACACGGACAGCACCCCGAGCTGCTGCCCCACCTCCCTCTGCACAGCGCAGGCCCAGCCACTCATGGCAGTTCCTGGAGAGTAGCTTCCTGCTTGCCCAGCTCTGCAGACTAGCTCTGGCTCATGCAAACCAGCACAATTCTCTTCCATCCAGTGGGCCACCGCTACACCTTCTCCAACAAAATCTGACACCCACCCTTCAGGGTGAGCCCCCCTTCCAAGTTTGCGTTCCTTGGGCACTTTCTCTCAACCCAGGGTACCCTATAAGGTTTTCTTATGTTTATAGCAGTGGTCCTCAACCTTCCTAATGCCGCGACCCTTTAATACAGTTCCTCATGTTGTGGTGACCCCCAATTTCATTGTTACAAATTGAACATAATTAAAGCATAGTGATTAATCACAAAAACAATATGTAATTATATATGCGATTTCCGATGGTCTTAGGCGACCCCTGTGAAAGGGTCGTTCGACCCCCAAAGGGGTCGTGACCCACAGGTTGAGAACCGCTGTCTTATAGTGTCTCTTTCATCATAATTTAATAATTCTTTGTATTATACTTCCCCTGGTTAAATCATTTTATGGTTTCTGTCTCTTGATTGGACCCAGAAGAATACAGCCTGCCAGAGTTGGAGTCATAGCCAGTCAAACTAAGAAGCCTAGCGGCAAGACAGGAGTAAACAGCCCTGGCCAGTTGCTCAGTGGTTAGAGCATCAGCCTGCACACCAAAGGGTCACGGGTTCAATTCCCGTTCAAGGGCATGTACTTTGGTTGCAGGTTCAATCCCCAGCCCTGGTTGGTGTATGCGTGCAGGAGGCATCCAATCAGTGTGTCTCTTTCACATTGATGTTTCTCTCTCTCTCTCTCTCTACCTCCTCTCCCTCCCTTCCACTCTCTTCCACTCTCTCTAAATATCAATGGGGAAAAAAAATCCTTGGGTGAGGATTAATAACAACAACAAAAAAAACAAAAAAAACTCCCTTTGCGGATGCTGTGGACTGAACCATGTCACCCAAGGTGCCTGGTCACTGTTCAGTTACGTGCAGGGGTTCTGTGTTGCTGAGCGGAGTAATGAGTTGGGAGAGAAATGAGTTGTTCAGGATCACAGAGAGACTATGGGTTAAAAGAAATGAAAGAAGGATGGAGCATAACAGAGCTCTGAAGGTAAAGAACAAGTCAACAAACAGAATTTGATTATTCTGCTGTGCCATGTAAATCCTCATCCACGTATCCTCAGTAGACTGTTCAATTCTCATGAACGCAGGGGAAATGTGGATACTAGTATATCTGAGGATTGCCCCGAGCTGAATCCTGCCTCAAGGTAGGCTCATAGGAAGAAGAGAGTCTGCCCTCAGGAGCCCTGCTGCCCCAGAATTCCATAAACCCAGATTCCCAATCCCTGTGCAGAGGCAGTGGTGAGCTACACATGGGCCATGGGTAGGCTGCCATATTGATCCCCTCAGTCGTGGTTTTTGTCTAATTCCCACCCGAGGATATGTTTCTATTGATTTTTAGAGAGAGAGGAAGGAAGGAGGCAGAGACAAAGAATGAGAAACATTGGTTCGAGAGAGAAGCATCGATTGGTTGTCTCACATATATGCCCGACCAGGGATCAAACCCACAACCTAGGTGTGTGCCCTAACAGGGAACCAAACCTCAGTCTTTTGGTGTATGGGATGATGCTCCAACCAACTGAGCCAACCAGCCAGGGCTCCGCTCAGTTTTTGGATGGAGCCTGAAGCAGCCAGAGCCTCAGGCAGTAGCCTCTGGTTGCAAGGAGCCATATTCAAATCTTGAGGGATCGTAAGAGGAGCAAGACAGGAGTGATAAAACAGCTCTGCCATCTAGCTTACCAGCTAAAGTGAAGGTTTAGAAACTTACCAAACAGCAGCACTTCAGAGATGAGCATAGTTTCAAAGAGTACAAAATAAGAGCAAAATGAGGAGGTAAATTGAATAGGTGGAGAACAGAAGGATGTGGGATTTTTTAAAGTGATGTTATACACCTGAAACTAATACAACATGAAATTAATTGTAAACTGCAATTGAAAAATAAAATTTAAAGTTCCTTTCAGAAAGAATTAATGGTATTATAGGAAGGGAGGAAAGACATTAGCAAACGAAAATTAGGTGAGTTGTGGGCAGTGTTGTTCTGTGAAAGCTTTAGAAAAACATGAGTTCTCACCTGCCTGGCGTGGCTCAGTGGTTGAGCGTCCATCTATGAACCAGGAGGTCACGGTTCAATTCCCAGTTAGGGCACCCGTTTCGGGCTCGGTCCTCAGTGTGGGACGTGCAGGAGGCTGCTGATCAATGATTCTCTCTCATCATTGATGTTTCTGTATCTCTCTCTCCCTCTCACTTCCTCTTTGAAATCAATTTTAAAAATATATATATATTTTTTAAATTAAAATGTGAGATCTCCAAGTCTGATCTATGTCATGGGGTTTGAAATAACAAACCAACAAACTTTCATTTGGGCCTGAGGAACAAGCAGGACAGGCTACCGAATGCTTCTATGATGACTCAGAAGAGAAGCTGTGAGATCTTTAAAAGACTTGCTTCCTCATTGGTGAAGGGTTGGTCTTACCTGCAGACGTGTGTGCCTGGCATGTGATGCTTCTTGACTTGCTCAACCCTAAAAGCTTTCCCTGAAGTAAACACCTCCGGTTCTGCCCACAGTCTGCAGCCTGAGCTCTTCCAAAAATTTCCTGCATCTCTGTTTGCAGTAGGTTCAGTGGAGAGAGGTTCTGTAACTTGTGCTGGATCCTACAGCCAGGAAATGATGGAAGCAAACACAGAGATGCCTGTTAGCACATTACATCTGCCCTCCCTTCACCTCCCGACTACCTGCGTCTAGACCCCTGCCCTCACTGTGGCCCTGGTCTTGTTTCAGGTGGTCTGCATTAAAACCCAGCAGCAGCCTGGCCCATCCTTATCTTTAGGCACCACAGAGGAGCTGTCTTTTACATGCCTCGATCACAGACAAGTTCAAGCCACTTCTTAAGCAGGCAGACACACAGTGTTACAGAATGTGACAGTGCTCCACGGGACAGTCACCACTGGGAAATTTATTTCATCGAGTGGTAGCGAAGAAGCAGGTAAAATGAAAGCCTCCAGCCCAAAGTGCTAGCTGTCCTTTTAAACAACAACATCCACCTCTATTTGCAGAGAACAGCATGTGCACCCATCAGGACACCTGACTCATTGCCTCTATTCCAGTCTCTGGATTAGTCAGAGAAGTAAATAGACTACGATGCTATCAGAGAACCCTGAGTCTTTGTTACCCTGAGGTGTGCTGGCTACTGATTATCTCCATTGATGCTCAAGGTAGGAATGAGATACTCACTCCTTTTCTCTGTTGGATCTCCTGGGAGACTTCCAAATAGATAGCAAATGGTGAGTCCAGGACAGTATGTGCCCGAGACACTTTCTAGAAGCTCATTTTCAAGAGAGAACTGAATCTATTACTAGAGGCACACCCTAGAAATATGCAATGTCGAGCAAGTAATAGAAAAAGATAAGATGAAAATGAATGAGACCCCCCTAAAAAAGACAAACATGTTGATTCAAATAAAATAGTCATGTCAGGAAACTACACACTTGCTGAAAAGAGACAGACCATGTGCCTGCTGTATGGCTGTGGTGGCTCCACCTGCACCAGAGCCCTCTGTGCCCCTCACATGCCTGCCCTCTGGACAGTCTAGCAAGGAGCTGGCTCAGCAGGGCTGACTGACACGACACTAAAGTAACCAGCTCGCTCAGGTGAGGGTAGTGAACTCCCCAAACTATTGACCTCTGGGCTCCAGACACTCCCTTCTTTCAGCAAGGCCACTCTGTGACCAGAAGAACCATCTCAGTCCGTTCAGGCTGCTAAAACAAAACAGCACAGGCTGGGTTGCTTATAAACAACAGAAATGTTTCTCACAGCTCTGGAAGCTGGAGGTCCAAGGTCGAGGCCAGCACAGTCAGGTTTGGTGAGGGCCTGCTTTGGGGCTACAGATGGCCAATATTTTTACTTTTCGCTGTGTGGGCTAGCTCTGTAGAGCCTCTTTTACTCTGGCTCTAATCCCATTCGGGAGGACTGAGCCAGATTTGTGGCTAATCCCAAAGACCCACCTCCTGAATATAGCACTTCTTCAAATAACGTTGTTGTATTCAGTGTTGTTTCCTTATAACATTGAGAAAAGAAAAAGAAAAAAGAAAAAAAACCTTCCCTCTGAAGTCACCATCTGTGTGGCATTTGCACATTCTCCCCATGTGGGCATGGTTTTTGTCTGAGGACTCTGGTTTCCTCTCACATCCCAAAACTGTGCACGTGAAGTGAACTAGTGTCTACCTTGTCCAATCTGAGTGAGTGTGGGTGGTGTGAGTGGCCCTGTGGTGGAGGGCGTCCTGTCCAGGGTGAACCCCACCTTGCGGCTCCCTGAGCTGCCAGGGTAGGCTCTGGCCACCCGTGACCCTGAACTGGAATAAGTTGGTTGGAGAATAATGATTCATTCATCTTTCTTAAGTGTATGTACAGCTCACATTTATTTTAATGTTGACCATTAGGAGGGCTTTGGATCTTTATTTAGAAGTTTGGTGATGCTTTTGTGACTATAAATATGCCCTAGGAATTTAACTCGTGCTTGTATCAATTAGCCTGTGGTAAAACTGGCTTTGTTATATGTCCTTTCGCTTAAAGCCTCCATTTCCAAGAACCTATCAGTGATGTTAAGTACAGACTTACCGTACTATCACCTTGGGCATTAGCTTTCTAACAAATGAATTTTGGAGGGCCACAAACATTCAGACCACAGCTTTCTCTCTAGATATATGAAGTGGTACCAAGGCAGGATTTTTCTCGTGGAGCACATCCCCAAGGTGCATCCGGCTGTGCCTAAACTAAGCACCCGACACTCACGAGCTGACCTTTGCTAAATCTTCCTCAATAATCCTCACTTTGTCACAAACCTTACCCGTTGTGTTTGCTCCAGACCGATGGCATGACACTTATCTGACAAAACTCAAGAGGAATAAGTCTCCTCCCTTTATAGTAGTTTCTATTCCAAATAAAGTCAACTGTAAGGAGTCAGAAGGATAGAAAGGAAAAGCCCAGTCTTTGGAGTGAGACAGATCTGGGATTGAGTCCTGGCAACATGGACTCTGTATCCTCAGACCATTCATACAACGTCCCATAGGTAATCCAGAGATAATAATGCCTATTAGTAGGTTTTTTAACAAAACCTAATAAAAGTTCATTTCCTTTCTACTTCCTCTTATTTCACTTCTACCCTTCAGCCTCTTTCTTTCCAGACTTAGCAGACTTAATTTCAACAGAAGTTTGGCTATGTATAGAAGTCAAGTCATTTTCATAGGATGAAGATTTATCACTATTGAATTGCAAAGAAAAAAAATGACTCATATATGGAAGGTAATTCATAAGACTATTTCTCCAGGTATACTACTCAGTAGCAGTAATATTTATTGAAAGATGTTTAAAGACCCCAAGGTAAATACTCTGAAAATAATAACAGGCATTCTATGAGTGCTAGCCAGTTGAAATAAAATTAGATGTGTGACAATTGTCAATCATGCCATTGTTCATGTAAGCATCTGCTCTTTTGAAGAAACAGTGCTCTGCCCGGTGAGAAGTATGAAAATGAGCAAGATTCAGTCTTTGTTTGCCTACCTATTTGATAGATATGCTTTGAGAATTAAAGTAAAACGACACATATGAAACATTCGTAGCAATCTAAATAAATAGGGGATATAATTTTGTGTCCCTCCAAAATTTTTTTATTAGTCTTTTTGCCACAATAACTGAAAAAAAAAAACTAATCAAGACAACCTATAAATGCAATCAATTTCTGTAATTGTTTGAAAAAACAAAATTAAGTATCAGATGCTTGTCAAGATAAATGCGAAAAGAACACCTATAATTCTAAAATTATGTTGTAGATTTATAACATAATCCCCTCAGAAACTGATATAACAAGCAGACAAGATTAAGGCTATTATTCTTCAAAAACCTTCTTATCAAAGACATGACAAATCAATATCAAATTGGATCTATTAAACATACTACAATGAGGAGTATGTGCTTTTTGGATACACATGCAACATTTATACAAATAAATCAGTTTAGGCCCTGGAAATAATCCCAATAAATTAAAAAATATCTATATATAATTCAGACTATTCACTCCAACTATATTGCAATAAAATTAGAAATTAATGCCACAGATATAGCTATTAAGATGTTTCATATGTTTGAGAACCAAATAACATATGACCAAGCAAGCCATAGGGTTAAAAATAAATCCTAAAGGAAATTAAGATCTACTTAGAACTGAATAAAATGAAACACAGTTCATGTAAAAATATGTTTGACATAGCTAAGAGAGATTTAGGAAAAAAATTACTGTTTTACATGTACTCATTAGGAATTAATAAAGGTTAAAAATAGACATCTTTGTTATTTCTTTCCTCCTTATCTCTTTGGATGTGCTTTGTTTTTCTTTTTCAACTCATTTAGTTCAATGCTGTGCTTGAATGACTATTAAGTATATGAAAAAAGATGCTCAACTTTGCTAGTATTCAGAGATAAGTAAATGAAAACAATGAGATAGAGGCTGGTTTGTTACATGCATCTGAATAGCCCAAGTTAGTTGTTACTATAGTGTTTGCAAACCTGCCATCAGAAAAGGAAGGAAGGAAGTGGAGAAGAAAAGGAAACCCTTCCTTTTAAAGGGGCATGGCCTGAAAGATACATACCTAACCACAGCTCACATTCCGTGGACCAGAAGTTGGTCACATGACCACACCTCACAGCTCCAAGTGTCTGGGAAATGTATACTTTGTTGCAAGGCTCCCATTTACCAGGTGAAAACTGAGGTTCCTATTACTGTAAAAAGAAAAGAGAAGAGGTACCGAATGGATAGCCAACATGCTCTGTCACATATGACATGCTTAAGTGAAATTTTTAATTCTCACACTTCCCCCAAAATTTGTATGTCGAAGCCCTGAGCCTTCGGGAGGCAATTAGGGTTAGATGATGTCATGAGGGTGGTATCTGCATGACAGGATTAGTGTGCTTAAAAGAAGAAATACCAAAGAGCTCTGCCCTTTTTCTCTCTCTCCCCTCCCTGTGTGTGTGTGTGTGTGTGTATGTGCACGCGCGCGCACGCACACACACACACACACACACACACACACACACACACACACACGCATGCCTGCATTTGCATTCATTTCTGCCCTCACCTGCTTCAAAATTCTTGGAAGAGGTCGGACAGCAATCACCAGTATCCTGGGGTTTCAAAACAGGCTTGCACTGCTGAGTAATGGTAGTTTCAGAACCAAGGACAGCGCCCGTGCCCCACCTCTCCCGTTCGTTTCTATCTACACCTACAGGAGTTGTGTGATCAAATTTCCCCCAAGTCACAGGTTAAGTCAGATCTCTCACAAATCACTCTAAGAAAATAATGCTAGTAAGATAAAATAATAGAAGCAATAAATGTATTGTTTTCTTTAATTCTCATAACAACCCTGTAAGTTTCCCAGCTTATAGTTGAGAAACAAATTCAGAAGGAGGTCAAGTGGCTTGTCTAAGGTCACATGGGTAGTACATATTAGAGCCAGAATTAGAATCTAAATTAGGCATCTATTATTTTTATTGAATTTGACATCTCTAATTAGATAATTGCTTGCCAAAATTATTCTCTGAATAATTTTTCTGTAATAAAGCACTGTTTTCTAGTAACACTATCAGAATTATGTACACTTTACCATATGAGACCGTTAGTTAAAATATAATTAATCTTGAGATATTGAGCTCCCATGAAGCCAGGTAATAGGTGGAGTCCCAAGCAAGGAGTCATACTTTAAGACTGAGGCAGGCCCTAGCCAGTTTGACTCAGTGGATAGAGCTTCGGCCTGCGGACCGAAGGGTCCCAGGTTCAATTCCGATCAAGGGCACATGCCTGGATTGCAGGCTGGGTCCAACGTGCACAAAGCAGTCAATCAATTATTCCCTCTCATTATTGATGTTTCTAGCTCTCTCTTCCTCTCCCTTCCTCTCTGAAATCAATAAAAATATATTTATTATAAAAAAAAAAGACTGAGGCAGGATCCCCCACTTAGTCACTGCCTTCAATCTTACCCTGTGAGTTACTGCTACCAATAGGGAGGAATCCAAGAGGGGAATGAAAGTCAAGGAAAATGACTATCTTTCGGAGACTTTGCTAGGCATTTTTGCAATGTTTTGAAATTTAATATTTACTTTTAAAAATAAAGTATTTTCCATTATAAATACATATTCAAGAGGGGAAAAAAGCCAAAAGGAAAAATTCATTTTTTCAATACCCACTCTATTTGTGTTTATTCAACCATAGTCTTTTCTATAAAGTTAATTGCAATAAGTGTGGGAACAAGTGGGTCAAGGTCCTGACCCCTTCCCCCATCCCTGCTTCGAACAAAGTTGTTAAGCATTGCCCTGGCTGGTGTGGCTCAATTGGTTGAGTGTCTTCCCTGCACCTAAAGGTTGCCTGTTCTGAATGCAGAATCTTAGAGGGAAGGTGGGGGAAGGTGGGTGGGTGGGAAGTGATCAACCAAAGAACTTGTATGCATATATGCATAATCCCTGGACACAGACAATAGGGTGGTGAAGGTCTGGGGTGCGGGGGTGGAAGGGACTTGAAGGGGTCAATAGGGGGAAAATGGGGACATACGTAATACTCTCAACAATAAAGATTTTTTAAAAAGAAGAAGGAAGATAACCGAAACTGGTTTTGGCTCAGTGGATAGAGCGTCGGCCTGCGACTGAAAGGTCCAGGTTCGATTCCGGTCAAGGGCATGTACCTTGGTTGTGGGCATATCCCCAGTAGGAGATGTGCAGGAGGCAGCTGATCGATGTTTCTCTCTCATCGATGTTTCTAACTCTCTATCTCTCTCCCTTACTCTCTGTAAAAAATCAATAAAATACATTAAAAAAAAAAAAGAAGAAGAAGAAGGAAGAAAGGTTGCCTGTTCAGTTCCTGGTCACAGCACATGCCCAGGTTGTGGACTTGATCCCCAGTAGGGGGCGTGCAAGAGGCAGCCGATTGATGTTTCTTTCTGTCTCCCTTCCCCTCTCTCTAAAAATCAATAAAAACATTTTTTTTAAAAAGTTAAGCATTGATTAGCTAAACCTATTGGGGCTTCAAGTAAACTGTCATTTGAAGAAAATGTATCATTAGTTTTTTAAATTAAAGCTTTAAATTTTTATCAGGTAAAGATTTTAGCTGAACTTGTGGATATTTTTAAGTTGAACTTCAATTGTAAACCATAAGTATTTGTAGCTGATCTATTGAGCCCCTAGGAAGAATCTCACATATGGGAATTTCAGCAACTCTAATAGCAACTTGCTATCTACTTACACAACACTAGGTGGTAGCAGGTGATTTTTCTTTTCTCTTCAAGTAGTAAAATCATGGTGTGTGACTGTGAGTGTTTTCCTCCCTCGAGGCTATTAAGAACAGTGAAAAACTGGAAATAGGCTTGGGGGAAATTTGGGAGGGGTGATAGAAAAGTTCTAAAATTGGATTGTGCTGACGACTCGAAAATTTAAATCACAAACTTACTAAAAAGCCTTGAATCACAGCGAATAAAAGTATAAAAAGAAAAAATTGCTAAAATAAACTTTTCTATTCATGGTATATATCGAGAGCATTCTTATACTACTTTACATATTCAGAAAAACCTCTCCACTTAGCTACAAGTTAAAATTTTAAATTCATTTATATAATCTGAAATGCTTCGGCCACTGTACTTTTATTCCTTTAATCTGCACCTTTTCAAAGTTGCCTTACAACATCAGGAAATCACCATAATGCTACATGTAACTAATTAACCAGTATAATACATATTTAGTATCGCTTTTCCTGGGTTATATACTACTATAGAAATTGCAACAACCTGATTTTTAGTTCTAGGATGAACTTGTAATAAGCTCTATGAACTTGCACAAGTTACTTAACCTCTCTGGCTCTTTAGCTAATCTGTAAATTTGGAATAAAACTTTCTCGTAGAGATTTTGTGGGGATTTACTGGGTTTGACATCAATAACATGAGAAGGGGGGGGGGGAATGTTACTGAAACTACATGGCAATTATGCTTCTCAAAGAGTGTTATCATAATTCTCTTCAGTAAAACTAAATCTCTGTGCTCTATTTACAGACACTATTGGGAAAGAGAAAACAAACAAAGTACGAATGCCTTGGCCAGTGATGTTAAGTTTACAATCTGAAGTAGGCAAATAGCCTATTATTTTAAATAAAGACACAGATATAACAACTATTACAAATTCCAGGGGTTGGGGTGGAAGGACTAAAGCACTCGAGTTTAAGACAAGGATGTTTCATATTCTATTCTTATCTGTTTGTTATTGTATCGTAACCAAGTTTTTCATTCCCAAGCCTCCCCTAAAATCCGCTATACAAACAAAAGCCCTGTGTGAGTCGTTTCAGAGAAAATCAAGGCAAAGAAGTTGAGTCCCACCCCCGGCTTTGTGGGGAGCAGAAAGAGCAGCTGCAGAGACAAACAAGATCAGAGTCTTAGGAGGAAGACCATCTCGGGGCTAGCTCTTACTGAACACAAGTCTTGAGAAGCACATTGAACTTCTTATGATTTCCCAGAAGTCTTGGGAAGCACATTGCACTGTTTAGATCCCAAACTAAAAGAACTGGGTTATAGATGGAATAATATGTAAATTATTAGTACAGTGGCTAACACACACACACACACACACACACACACACACACACACACACACACTATGTATACAGTTGAGCCTAATTATTCATGGTTCTATACTTGTGAATTCACATGTCATTAAAATTTATCTGTAGCCCCAAACAATTCTTATGACATTTTGCAGTCATTTGCAGACATGCACAGAGCAGCAAAAAATTTGACTCACCCAATACAGGCGTTCCAGCTGAGGCTGACCATGGCAACGCTCTGCCTTCTCGTTTTAGCTCTCGTAATATAAACATCTTTTGCAGTTTATTTAGTGCTACATTTTTCACATTTTTGTGCTTTCTTTTTTGGTGAGGCTGCTGTTTAAAATGGCCCCCCAAGTGCAATACTGAACTGTTGTTGAAAGTAGCTAAGTGAAGAAGGCACAGAGGCATGACACAGAAAATACCTGTTAAACAAGATTTGTACGGGTATTAGTGATAGTGCTGTTAATGAAGCAACAATATAGATTAACTAGGGTGTCTTTAAACAGAAACACTGCAATACAATTCTGACACAGACCACCCAGGATTAGTATCAGACTCCACAGGTTAAAGGGCACAGTCCCCAACAACACTGCCATTTCTTCAGATGCCAGCCACAAGTTTTGGGGGGCTCCAGGCCATCCGCACTTCTGACCAACTGGCTACAAATTCAGGGGTTCCAATGACCCCCTCAGATTCAATAATTCATTAGAATGACTCACAGAACTCTGCAGAGCGCTATGGTATGATTATAGTTCTATTATAAAGAAGAGACACAAAGGGCAAGGTCTAGATGAGAGTGTGTGGGAGAGGGAGAGGGAGAGGGAGAGGGAGAGGGGAGGGAACGGGGGAGAGAACGGGAGAGGGAGAGGGAGAGGGAGAGGGGAGGGAACGGGAGAGAGAGAGAGATTTACAGACCCTAATTGGAGTGGGTTAACAGAGACTAGGAGAACTAGAGATAAATGGAGGAATTTGCTGAAAAGGGACAAAGAGAATGGGGTGGTAGATGAAGGGGCAAAGAGGTGAAGTAGAATTTTTGGACTGGGCAGGATGTCCCTGATTCTTTGCCCATGGACAGAAGGTGGTATAGTAAAGGTGGAAATTTATTAAAGAACAAGTATAGACTCCCATGTGGGGA